ATTTGTAGTGTTATGGGCTATCATAACGAAATAGTTAAACATAGGCTACAAACAATATAGTGCTATTAGTGCTTTGTGTATTGGGACCCTGGATTGAGGTCGCTCTGGAAGTGCAATAATCTTGAAGGTGACGTTAAACCACTTTTCACCTCACTTTGCTTCCCTCTTCTCATTGGTTGTTCTTGTAAATAATGGGGCAGTGGGGTAGCCTAGTGGTTAAAGTGTTCGCTCATCATGCCGAAGATCTGGGTTCGATTCCCCACATGGGCACAATGTGTGAAGCCCATTTCTTGTGTCCCCCGCCATGATATTGCTGGAATATTGCTAAAAGCGGCATAAAACTTAACTCACTCACTTGTAAATAACATGAAGACTGTGACATGAAAGGATTTGTGATGCTCATGATGTCAGTCACTGGATCATCTGATCCAGATTCCATCCTTTACGACCACTTCATACAGATGGAATATTGCTGAGTATGCATTAAACAATCAACAAATGACACTACAGAAAATAGTTGCACTGTGAATGTAATGATCATAACTATATGTACATTTCCCCCTTCGACTTAAATCACATTCAGTCTACAGGTTAGAGAGCTAGCTTTAAAATGTCAATATGTTAGGAATAACACAGTAGTATGGGGTAACAGTCTGAAGCATTTTGGCACAGATAGCAGATGGAATATATAGTGACGGATTAACTGACACAGCAGATGAGATATAACCACTGACATGACGTTAATGTCTGCCAGCGCTGTGATGTCTGCAGATGCCTTGCAGAGTCTGGAAAACACTGTGTCTGTAACATGATGCCAAAAAATGGCTCGTTGTTGACAGAATCTCCAGTCACTGACGACAAGGGACTAGGATGAAGTGTTGCATGGCAATATTTGGCTTTCAGGCTTCAGCAGCAGTAGGGATCGGGGACATCCGCCAAGCAGGGGTAGACAGGCATGCAAGCATCCTGAATTGACAACACATGTCTTGTAGATTGTTGGTGCTGCTATGTTAATTGATTCGTTAGTTAATAATAGGTTCCCTTGTTCCTGTTGTTGAGAATGGTTGTTAATCAGTCTGTAAGCAATGAGACATCAGGGAACAAGGCGTGCTGCAGGTTGCTGTGCAGAGTGATGTACCTTTCTGGTTCCAGGATCTCTTGATGGAATAGAATTACAGATTAATATGATTATGATCATTTCTCTGACTGGACTACCTAGTAAATGTCCGTGATCTGTCACCTGTGTCACTTTGGGCTTCCAGTCTGATAACTGAAATAGCTGTCATTGATTACACAATGCCATTTGGAAAGTGGTCATATGCAACATATATTTGGGATTACACTTTCTTAGTAAAGTACAAATCCGTGATTCAAACCCTCACCCTCAGAGTCAGGCACCAAATCACCTATACACAAAGTCAGCTGTCTAACCCTTGTGGAAGTCGGATTAGGCGGCTGACTTTGTGTGCTGGCGATTTAGTGTTTTGGTGCCTGACTCTGAGGGTGTGGGTTTGAATCCTGGATGGGAGTCAACCAAACAAAAGTACTAGAATTTGTACTTTACTAAGAAAGTGTAATCCCAAATATAACATATGTTGAAATAGCTGTCAGCATGTTCGAAATTAGCTGAAATCGGAGTTGCCAATGATCAGTTGTAGTGATTGATTGATTGCCTCTGTGCATTGTAGGTATTGATTTATCACCTATCCATGCTATTTTGATGATGAGAAAAATGTTTTTTGTTCAAGTTTACACATACATTCATCATCAATATGGAAAACATAACCATCAATATGAATCCGCTACAGTTTTCCTATCTAACATCTTCATGGAATAAAATTTATAAATATGAATTCATTGTAAAACAGGTTCTTTGGCATTGAATACTAATCAATGATTGGTCGCCATAATCAGGGATAAAAATGCAACTTTTTCAAAGGGTGCCATTAGGCACTAGACAGATAATTTAAGTGTGCCAATACCTTTGGATGATCCAATTCAACTTAAAACATCACAACAATTATATCATTTCAGTTTATTGTTTAATAAACCAAGAAATATCAGGGCGTTCAGAAAATATTTAATTGTGCCATTTCAATATTTATTGTACAGTGGCATGCAAACTAAGCACTATTTTAATCTCTGATTGTTGATGATGTTGATTGGTGTTAAGAAATTATGCCCATCATTTGATAAAAACAGATCGTGAAGATCCAGATAAGAATTGATCTTCAGTAACCCATGCTTGTCATAAGAGGCGACTAATGGGATCAGGTGGTCAGACTTGCTGACTTGGAAGACACATGCCATCGTATCCCAAGTGCGTGGATCGATGCTTATGCTGTTGATCACTGGATTGTCTGGTCCAGACTCGATTATTTACAGACCACCACCATGTAGCTGGAATATTGCTGAGTGCAGCTTTAAACAACCAATCAACCAAATGATAAAATGATTGACTTGATATTTACCTGTGACGTTGGTTTATACAGCATTCCACTATCTGCAGGTGAGCTACAGAACATTCAGACTCCACTTCTTCCCATGTTTCCCTGGAGAAAAGAGCTCACTTCACAAAAACATGCAGTGTGCAGATAGTGTACAGAGACTTCACGTCATCAACGCTTAATGACTTGATGTTTTTACGTATCTCCATCATCAATGCCATAGATAGAAAATAAAACCAATTTCAACACAACATTCATCGTCCCTGTAGAGACTCCCGCTAATTTCCAACATGCCGACCATTCTGGTCTCTCCACAACCCATTCTCTGCTAATTGCTGGATATAAACAAATGGAAGGGAATTTTGAAACGCCTGCTGTATATTTAGACTGTTAAATGCATACAAGATACAGCGGGGATTGTTGTGTGCGTTCATGAGAAAGGCGGCACTTGTTTGAGTAAATGAAAGCTCACTATATTCCTGCGGTGTTACAATTACATAAACACTGCAGGGAAGACTTGAAGTCAGACCGATAGCCGGGACATTAAACTGACTGTTCTTCTCAACTTTATCTTGATACATAATAAATGGAGGAAATCAAAGTTATTTTTGTGTGAAGGTATATTTTCTGATTCACTGATAATGTTATGAAGAGCTTCATGAAATGTGTATCTATCCGCTGGGCTTAATGCTTTGAGGTAAAATTAGCACTGCCATTCATTGCTCCAGTTTTTAGTTTCTTCTCGCTTTGAGTTGGCATCATTTTAAGCAGAATTTGTTGTCGACATATGGGGATTCCAGATTAAAATAGACCCACCAGAACCTTATGGTTGTCAGATCCAACTAACATAGGACTAGGGTAGCCCAAAACATAAAGGCTTTTGTCTCTGGGGGTAGAGTTAAAAATGATGCAATGTTTTCGAGCGGAAAGGCTAATTTGTATGATTCACCTCCAGCCACCTGTACTGTACAATCTTTGTGTTGTGGAAAAATTGTGTCCCCTCTGGTATACAAATATTTTCAAAGGTAATCAATAAAGTTGCTAAGGTCTTATAATCAACCATGCCCTTTCTATCACAGAGGCGTAGACCCCTCTAACACAGAAATCACAGAATCCACATAAACACGTCTATTTTTGCCGTGGTAATCTGTGAAGCAGGCAGTGGTAATCCCTATGTATTACCGGGGAATAGCAGTGATATTACCCTGATTGCCACAATTATGTACAGTACATGCTGTGTGGGGAATCACTCACGTTATTGCCTGCCTTCCTTCTGTCTGTCAGAGACAGTTGTTTCCACATGTGTCCCTGAGTGACTGCTGCTTGTGCTGGCAGCAGTATTTTTAGCAAAAATTCTTTTATTTGTTCCATTGTTTTAGTTTCTAACCTAACCAACAAAAACTATTAGAACTTAAAGAATGATTAAATCACCCCGAAAGGAGAGAAAATAACATTAGCTATTATGAAGAAATAAAACAGTAAACATCATGAAGTCTTCCAAAATACAGTCTGGTTCCTGGGTATTGATGGGCAGGTGGTGCCACAATTTACTGTGAAGAGTTGCCTCCCTTGACCACATCAGTATCCTATGATTGAGGGTTTGTATCCTGCTTCACCTGGATTATGTTCTAGGTTTTCACCACCTTACACCTGAAACACACTTCGTACCTTCCTGTTCAATGCGTCACTTCCTATTTCAATTCACGCAATCCATTCCTTCAGTTTCTGACCTAACATTAGTTATTGCCTGCCTTCCGTCTGTCAGTCAGAGACAGTTGTTCCCCATGTCTCCCTGAGTGACTGCTGCTGTGGTGGCAGCAGTATTACAGCCTCACATAAACTCAGGAATGTGTGGTTTATTTCTGTGAGAAGGATGAAGAACACAAAAGATGCAGTTTAGGAAACATCTGTTGCAGATATGATAAAGATTAGATAAGATACCGTCAACTGTTCAATCGCTAGGAAAGTCATGCAATGTCAGATTTTCATCAGCGAAATACAAAATAGAAAGATGAAAATACAATGCATAATAAATTATCATGAACATGATGTATATTGAGTTTAAGTAGTTTATGACATTTTATACAATAATTGATTGGCATTGAATTACATTGTTAGATGGTTCATGTAATGTTGATTGAGTGATTTAACAGAAATCTGTGTGAAAGAATTGTGGAAGCTTTGAGTTGGTATTTAAGATTGAACCTGTTTGAATATGTTTGAGTTTGAACCAGTTTGTGTATGTTTGAGTTTGAAAGTATTGATCCTTGACGGTCCAGCGGCCTAGGGTACAGCTGTGTGGAGTTGCTGATCATCCCCCAATTCAGCCCGATCATGAATACATGCCAGTGTTCATAGCTTTCACAAGTTGATCATTGGTTTGTGTGGTCCAGACCCAAACTCACCTGCAGAACTGCTGCAATATAGCTGTAATATTGCTCACCTATAAAACCCTGACAGAACATTCTCTCAACTTTATAGCAATCTTTATTTTGAAGTCATGCGACATGATTCTTGCCATGCTGTCATTTATGGTTCCTGTTTGTCTTCTAGAGTGCCTTCAGTCGTGAAGGTCTGAGTCGCTTGTGGAACGAGCTGGTCAAAGATGGAGAAGTGGCTGTGCGCGGCAGCGACAGCCTCTACAACAGTGCAGGCGCCCTAGCCAAGAAAGGTAGGACAGTATGCTAACTCTTCTGAGACCCATGGACATTTAGCCAACCCGCACCCAAACGTAAGACTGGTTGGTCCCTTTGACTTTGGTATTCTTTCACATGATGTGAAGTTTTCAGCCGTATTCATTGGCCAAGAAGAGGTCATGTGTCATTTGACAGAAACACACTCATCTGTCTCTCTCTCTCTCCCTCTCTCACACATGCACACACACTCACTCACTCACTCACACTCACTCATTCTGCTGAAAGTGATGCTAGCAGCTGCAGTTAACATTTAGAACACTGTGCTATTCTTTCCATTTATTTAATTTCTTACCGAAACGATTTGAATAGCAACTCTAATCTTGCAGCTTCTTCACAAAACTCTGTAGAGGATTTTTATAAACACAAATGGGCGGTGGGGAGGCGTAGTGGTTAAAGCGTTTGCTTTGTCACGCAGAAGATCCGTGTTTGATTCCCCACTTGGGTACAATGTGTGAAGCCCATTTTTGGTGTCCCCGCTGCAATATTGCAGGAATTTTGCTAAAAGTGGCATAAAACCAAACTCACTCACTATAAACACAAAACTTTCCCTCAAACTTGCATCAGTACTTGCATTTTTTGACTGGAAGGAAGTGAAGAGATTGTATTTGTGGAAGTCATTGGAAGTTTACACATGGTGGAGGTTTCTCAACAGCCTGGATAACCTTTGTTTGTCCGCTATAAAAAGTTCAGATGTCACTGTTTATTTTCATGGGTAAGACATTAGCTATTGAGAGTGTTGCAGCTGCTGGGGATGGGAGGATGTTCTTGTGTTGGAAGCTGGAACAACTAGGACCTCATAGGTTAGGCTTTGACTCATCACGGAAGGTCTTGTCTTTGGCAGGAAAGGAGCCGATGTAATGTATTTTAGTAATTTCTTTGAACACATTGGCCGACATCAGAATATTCAATCACGTTGTGTGATTTGTTGTTGTTTAATGCAGCACCCAGCAACATTCCAGCAATCTGGCGATATGTTGTTTGAGTTTGTTGCTATGTATCAAATGGTGTCGAATATTTTGTGCATATTATGTGATTGTTTGATTGGCATTCTAGAAGTTAGTGATTATCTATCTGAGCATACGACTTTATGGTTCACAACTTCTTGTTTATTGCATGGAGCAATGTTTCAATGTAGATTCATACCCTATTATAAAGCTAAAACTAATTTGAATGATTAGCTTTTAGAAAAAGGGGGAAAAAGGGATATTATAAGGATATTAAGCAGTAAACATCATGAAGTATTCCATTGTAATGCATTCTGGTTTCTGAGGGGCATTGATGGGCAGATGGCTTAGGTGCCGCAATGTACAGTACAGAGTTGCCTCCCTTGACCACATCAGTATCCTATGATTATGGGTTGCATCCTGCTTCACCAGGATTATGTAGTTCTAGGTTTGTCACCACCATACCTTCCTGTTCAAAGATGCTTCACTCATTCAATCCTTCTTTCTGAACGTCGCATGATGTTTTAAAATAATTTGAACAAATGTGTTCCTTATAATAAAAACAAGTTTTATGGATAACAGCTTCTTTATTTCGTGAGTGCGACGTTTCGATACAGATTCTTGTACCGTTGTCAAGCATGTTGCTTGACAACGGTACAAGAATCTGTATCGAAACGTCGCACTCACGAAATAAAGAAGTTGTTATCCATAAAACTTATTCTATATTGTACGTCTCAACTTCTAAAATGCCACTCAAACAAATGTGTTCCTTTATTTGCAATGAGAAATAGCAGAAAAAACATACAGAATACTGAGGTTGAATCCTGTTGTGTGCTGTTTTGATCGTCACATACAGATTACCGAGGTTGGGTCTTGTTCCGTGTTACTTTGATCATCACGTACAGATTACCGAGGTTGAGTCTTGTTCCGTGTTACTTTGATCATCACAAACAGATTACCGAGGTTGAGTCTTGTTCCAGATGTTACTTTGATCATCGCATTACAGATTACCGAGGTTGAGTCTTGTTCCGTGTTACTTTGATCATCACAAACAGATTACCGAGGTTGAGTCTTGTTCCGTGTTACTTTGATCATCACAAACAGATTACCGAGGTTGAGTCTTGTTCCGTGCTACTTTGATCATCACAAACAGATTACTGAGGTTGAGTCTTGTTCCGTGTTACTTTGATCATCACAAACAGATTACCGAGGTTGAGTCTTGTTCCGTGTTACTTTGATCATCACAAACAGATTACCGAGGTTGAGTCTTGTTCCGTGTTACTTTGATCATCACAAACAGATTACCGAGGTTCAGTCTTGTTCCGTGTTACTTTGATCATCACAAACAGATTACCGAGGTTGAGTCTTGTTCCGTGTTACTTTGATCATCAAAAACAGATTACCGAGGTTCAGTCTTGTTCCGTGTTACTTTGATCATCACAAACAGATTACCGAGGTTCAGTCTTGTTCCATGTTACTTTGATCACCACGTACAGATTACTGAAGTCAAGTCATGTCCTCTGTATCTTTAACAATGTGTTTTCTGTGATGGTTTAAGCTAAGTGCCGAAGTTGAAGGGACCCTGAAATTATTTCAAGTTATCCAAGAAATATGATGACTAAACAAGGCATACTGAGGGCTTCTTGACAACAAGACAATCGACATATCAAAGTTCAGCACAGCGGTGTTAGTATGTTACTGCCATTGTGGACCGCCTCCGTGGTGTAGTGGTTAGAGCGTCTGCCCGGAGAGCGGAAGGTCGCAGGTTCGATCCCCAACCGCGTCTAACCAACAGACGTTAAAATATGGTACTTGTTGGTCCCTGCCTGGCGCTCAGCATTAATGGGTACAACAAGGACTGGTTGGCTCGGAGTCAGTATAATGTGTGTGAGTGGGGTATTCATGCTTCACTGCGGCATGGTATCTCATTGGACTAGCACTATAAAACCAGCTTTAGTTTGGGCTAGTACAAGCAGCCGCACATGCACATACACACGCATGCACGTCGTCATAGGAGCGAAATATTCTCAAGCACGATGTTTAACGCAATTTCACCTCACCTCACCTTACTGCCATTGTGTTTTGTTCCCTGATGGTTTAGCTGTCGGAATACAACTTAATAAGGGTAACTACCTCAGACTGTAAAGATGGATGCCAAGTAACTTTAGATAGCGAGATAGTACTGTTAGAAACAACAGGTAGTGTTGCTATGGAAGTTTTCCAGTGCAGTGCCATTGGCTGTTCATGATCTTCAAGTATGTCTTTGGAGAATGGCAGTCACTGACTGTGAAATTGATGGTACTTGTGACTTGTTGTTTCTGTAGTATCTCGTCATGGTTTTCACGTCCCATATCCCTCTGGTTGATGAGTTCCAGGTTTCAGGATCTGGAAACCTTGCTGTATTCTAGACTTGATATAGTTCATGGTACTCTTCATGGTACTGGTACTGTCATGGTAAGTGTTAGAGAAAAATTACTGTTTTATGGGCTCAAAATGATATACGTGTTCAAAAATGTTTCTTAATATTTCAATTTTCCTGAAGTATTCTTATGCCTGCATTATTTATATTTATTTTTGAGGAGAAGGCCAAACAGCCACCATCGTGACAAACACTGTTCCTTGGTTGACTGTCACTTCTGATTATTGTTTCAGAAATATGCAAAAGTATGGACATAATCGAATCAGGATTGTGTTTGGTGCCAATTTATACAAGTAGTCTCCTATAAATGTCTGAATTTATCCAGTCTGACCTGATTCCATCAATTTAAAAAAAAAAAAATCACATTTTTTTTAATTCACTTCACTTGGATACACTTTGTATGAAACATTCTGTGGACATAGTTTTGTAATGAAATAATATAATGGGTGACATGTCACTCTGTTTGAAGTTCCACTGGGGGGAAAAGAGCATGTAAAACTGGAGCAATGGCAGATACACTTGGGTATAAGCTATTTCCATCAATTAATGGTACAGTTATCTGCAAGTCTGTGTTGGGTTGTCAATATAACTGTGCAGATGGACAGTAAGGAAACCAAAATTGTGTCTGCAGGAACGGTTTCAACTCTTGGTTTGTAAATATTTTTGTGCTCGTTTTTGACACCTAAAAACTTCCAAATTCTGCAGATTACACAACTACGCACACACCCAATTAAGCATATACAGACAATGTTTTTGGCCCTACCTCAAATGCAAAAAAAATCAGTGATCCATGTTTGCAGCCTAATGGATGTAATATGGCAGAAGAACATCACGATATTATCTACATACAAATGTAGGAAGGTCTATTTCAGTCAAGGATATGTTTCTCTGATAACACTGAAGCACCTTTGGCAACGAAGTCCTCCATACATGTTGAACACATTACAAGATGTGCCTGTCCCTCCCCTTGTCAATTCAGTAGGCTCTTCTGCTCCAGAGATTTTGTTTATGTGTACTGACGGTTCATTACCATGTTATACAGCCACAGTGACTGAAACGATTCCTATCATGTGTTCGATGTGTTTATCTTCTGCAGGACCGCCTCCGTGGTGTAGTGGTTAGAGCGTCCGCCCAGAGAGCGGAAGGTTGCGGGTTCGATCCCCGACCGCGTCATACCAAAAGACGTTAAAATATGGTACTTGTTGGTCACTGCCTGGCGTTCGGCATTAATGGGTACAACAAGGACTGGTCAGCTCGGAGTCAGTATAATGTGTCTGAGTGGGGTATTCATGATTCACTGTGGCATGTTATCTCAGCGGGCTAGAACTATGAAACCAGCTTAAAGGTCACATGCAACCAAAAAATCAAACATAATTAAAACACAATTATCACTTCTTCATGACATATAATATGCATAGCTGATTATGAAAAAACAAATAAACAAAATTATAAGCGTATAATCGCAAATCAAAAGTGCAATATTTTGTACTTGGGTTTACCTCCCTCGAAACGAAGCAGCCGGGATACCGAACCCAGTCAGAGCGGATGGGTGTGCACTCAAGTGTAACGGCTGGTTCATTAGCAGATGCCGACCGCATGCACGGCGCATTGT